TTCAAATATTTTTTGAAAATAATTGAATTTTTTTACAGAATTTGATTATAATTTTTGAGAATAATTTTTTGATTTCTAGTATTAGCGAATTTAAAGTAGTGGAAATTTTGAAAAATAAACAGAAATAGTAGCTTTTAGTGACTGAAATCTAAAAATCAGTCACTAATTGAAATTAGTAAACATTTTTACTAATTCGAATTTAGAGAGTAATTTTTTTTTTTTAATTTTTAAAGTATTTTTTTTTTTTTTTTTAAGTAATTTTTAAATGATACCAAAATAGTTCGTCTCTAATGGAATAGTTAGTCTACAAAATCCGTTTGTCTCATCTGGACAATTGGCGACTTTTTCTCCGAACCAATAAAACTTAAAAGTGATAAGAAAATTTACGAGGGTGGATGAAGTTAGTACGAAGTGAATGTAGCAGAGTCGTTTTGGACTTGAAACGGGGTATTATTTTTGCGGCAAATCTCTCTTTGCCGATCAGACTGTATGTTAATTTTTTTTTTTTTTTTTTTTTTTTTTTTTTTTTTGGTGTGGGCGTCAATGCTTGAATGCCGAAGAAGAGATCGTATCAGTATGTGCATTTACAATAACACCAAAGTCGATTTTACACTCAAGAGTATAGTGCGAGAGAGGTGTTTCTTGTTCTCACTTTCATTCTCCATTTTTCGTCTCAATTCTAAATTCCTAGACTTATAATTTTTTTTCTACAAATATTAATAAGCACAAGCTCATTAAAAACGAAAAAATTGAATTAGATCATAATTCCCATGATAATTTTTCCCTACAAAAAAGTGAGCGAAAAAATTCTACAAAACTCGATTGCCACAGAATTTCTATACAAATATGCGGGTTTGGAATAATGATAATTTTTCGTTTGTGAGAATTTTAAATAAAAATAAACTTCTATTTACATGTGAAAACAAAAAATTGTCAATACCATCTTTTTGGTATGGGAAAAAAAATAAAAGGTGTAGGAGAAAAGAACTTCGGAGATGTGAAAGAAGATATAAACCGACAGGGTCGAGGTGACAGCCCTACCGCATGCTACCGTATCGAAAGAAACATTAAATCGATTTCACATATATCAGGTCGTAAATTTTCAATACAATAAACTTTCCAGTAGAGGAATTCACAATGCAAAAAAAAAAGAATTCTGTTTATAGTTCAGAAGGTTGATAATAATTATTATTAAATGCTCCGCTTCGTTAATTTTACTTCTACACATATCACAAGATATAAAATCACTTAATGATCTCCGTTTAGTACTGTCATATAAATGTAGGTTACTTTTATGGTAATTTTTCACTATTAATTACATACAGTACAATTTGCGAAAAAAAGAAGTAAAAAGCAATTATTACCAAGAGTTAATAGAGATACAGATTTAATGTGTATATTAAAGGAAAAGGTATATGGTATGATACGTGTGGTACAAAATGAGATCAAGAGGGACATTATGTCAAGAGTCATTATCAAGTTTCTGTGATCCAAGTGTCATGTTCTGCATAAAACGACAAGGGCTTAATCACTCATTTCAACACTGTTTGCTCGACTCGTTTAATCAGTTAATACAATGCAATTGCAATCGTGAAAAATATCTACAAGAATGTGACTAAAAATAAATTTCTAATAACCTTTCGGAATTATTTTTAGTTTTTCATTTCGATTTCAATATTTTTAATATCTATTTCAATATCAGTCGCGAAGTATGTTATGATTAACTTTGTGCCAAATAAATTTTCTTGAAGCAATTATTACTCCACAGACTAGACAGGGGAATTATATTTAGAATTAATCATTTATTTACACACAAAACTGTTGAATCACAGGGAGAACCTTGTGATTCAACAGTTCTGCGAGAAACTACTGATAAGTTCATATTGAGGGTATAAAATGTAATCAATTTTTGCTGATGTATCATAAGAAGTATGAGAAGCAATATTTTCTTTAATTACCTAAGCGAATGTAATTTGACTTTGAGCAATACTTTGAAGCAAAAAAAAATTCGCCCATTGTTCGTTATATTTTTGACTTACATAAAAATTAAAAAAAAAATTTTGTTTAAAAATATTTTCGTTTTTATTATTTTTTTTTTCGTTTTTTTATTTTCGTTTTTTCCCATAATTTCCTTGATTTTGTTCATATAGTTGAAAATTGTAAATTTTGATTACCTTAAAGTATTTTCAAACATTGCACTCGACAATTAATTTTTAAAAAGTAGCAAAAAGTAGCTTTCAAACTAAAAAAAAGTAGTAAAATAGTAGCTATCGAAAAATTAAACTTGACGACAAAAAAAAAACTCGTTTTTGACACCTCACAAAACTGACAAAAATTTATAATCCATATTTTTTATTTTCCTGACTTTTTCATAATTTTCATCAAAAATATTTACTTCTTTCTTAGCCTGCAAATAAATTAAATTCCTGCACGGAATTTTATTATTCAAGAAAGAATTTAAATATTTATAAAAATAATTTAATTCTTGCGAAGAATTTTCTAAAAATTTTCAAATAATTCATTTCTTTCGACTAATTTTATGCAAATTCTAATTTAAATAATTGGATTCATGAGAAATTTGTATTATTCATGAAAAAAATTGAATTCTTAGAAAAATTTTTACAAACAATTTTTGAGATAATTGGAATCTGTTTGGAAATTTTATGAAAATACAGTAGATATAAAAAATCATTTAATTGTGAAAAGTTTTTAAAAATAATTAAATTTTACAAAGAATTCAATTACAATTTTTAACAATAATTGAATTCTTGCGAACGATTTGATTAGAATTTTTTTTGAATAATTAAATTTTCAAGAAGAAATTTATTACTTTTAAAAATAATTTGAATTCTTGTGATGAATCAAGTTATTTATGAAAATAATAGAATTTTGCAAAGAATTTTATTAAAATGCCTCAAAATAATGGAATTTTTCGTTTTTAAGAATAATAAAATTTTACAAAGAATTTAATTAAAATTTTTGACAATAATTGAATCTCTGTGTGGCATTTTAATTAATTAATAATAAAATAATAATATAATAATAATTGAATTCCTAAAAAGCATTTTATTATTTATGAAAAATAATTGAATTCTTGTGAAAGATTTTATTAGAATTTTTTTAAAATAATTGAATTTCCAAGAAGAAATTGTTTACTTTTAAAAATAATTGAATTCTTGTTATGAATATTTTTATTTATGAAAATAATTGAATTTTGCAAAGAATTTTATAAAAATGACTTAAAATAATTGAATTTTTAGGAATAATTTTGTTATCTATCTTTAATAATTGAATTCCTTCGAAGAATTATTTATGTAAATAATTGAATTCTCATTAAGAATTTTATTAAAATCTAAAAGAAATAATTGAATTACTTAAAAAAAATTTTATTAAAATTGTATCTAAAATAACAATTTCTTTAAAATATTTAAAAATAATTGAATTCCTGTGCAAAATTCGAATATTTTTTCTAAATAATTGAATTCTTCTAAAGAATTTTAAAGAAAATATTTTTTCAAATAATTGATTTTTTTATATAGGAATTGAAATTAATTTTTTAAGAATAATTATATTTGTTGAACAATTCCTGTAAAATTGTATTAAAAATAATTGAAATCCTGCGATGAATTTTATTATTTACGAAAATAATTGAATAGTTGATAAGAATTTTATTAAAATTTTCAAAAATAATTGAATTCCTAAGAAGAATATTATGATTTATGAAAATAATTGAATTATTGCGAAAAATTTTATTAAAATGTTTAAAAAGAATTGAATTGCAGAGAAAATTTTGTTATTTTTGAAAATAATTGAAATATTTATAAGAAATTTATAAGCATTGTTTTAAATAATTCATTTTTTCGAAATATAATAAATAATATGAAAATTTTATTTTAAATAATTGAATTCTTGTGGAAAACTTCATTTGGGAAAATAAATGAATTTTTCAATTAAAATAGTATTAAAAATAATTGAAATTCTTCGATGATTTTTATTAATTTTTTAAATAATTGAATATTGTTTCAAAGAATTTTTAAGAAAATATTTTTTTTAAATAATTGATTTTTTCCAGAAATTGATATTAAATTTATAAGAATAATTTTTTAATAATTTTTTTTAGCAATTGCATGTAAAATTGTATTAAAAATAATTGAAATCTAGCGATGAATTTTATTATTTATGAAAATAATTGAATAGTTGGTGAGAATTTTATTAAAATTTTCAAAAATAATTGAATTCCTGAGAAGAATTTTATTATTTATGAAAATAATTGAATTATTGCTTAAAATTTTATAAAAAAAAATTTTTTTAAATTAAATTCCCATGAACAATGTTATTATTAGTCAAAGTATTTGAATTATTTTGAAGAATTGAATAAAAATTTAAAATAGTGGTCCTAATTTGTGACCATAGTCAAAACTCAAAATTTAGAAATTATCAGATTTAACCAACTTTTCCCGTTGGCCATGCTTTGCTAGATTTTTTCAGAAATGGTTAAAATATAAAGATTTTGAGGGTTTAAAAATATTTTTGACGCTGCTCATGGTTTATTACATTTTAACCATAATCAAAATATAAAATTTTTAAGGATTTAAACAATTTTTGCTTTTGACCATGATTTACTATATTTTGGAGGTTTAGAGCTTGTTTACTTTAGAAGAATGGCAAATTCCAGCTGAATATGGCCTTTGGTCATAGTTAATGGCAAATTTGCTAAATAATGACAAAAAATGGCAAATTCTAGCTAACTATGGCCAAGGACCATAGTTAGCTAGAATTTACCATTTTTCCGTTTCCACGTGGGTCTTCTTTGAATTTTAAAAATCTGACCATAGGAATAGAGTCGTTATTTTTACTGACTCGACAACAATATAATTTTTAAAAAAGAGAAAATAATACAATAATACAATAATACAAATAATACAAAATAATACAGAAAAATACGAAATAAAGAAAAAAATAACATATTAAGCATAAGTATAAATAATTTATGTACTCACATTTTCCATTATTTTTGAACTCGGGATATTTATCTCTAGTTTCCTTGACACTTTCCCGAGAACCAAGGTGCTTCCATTTTTGCACACTGTGCGCAGACATTGGTGGATAATCATTTTTCGATTGATACCCATTATATTGAGCTCCAGTCGATCTCTCATAATTTGTTATACTCTTTGGAAAAAATACAGCTTCTGTTGGTTTTGGTGTTGTTGTCGTTGTTGTTGTCGTCGTCGTCGATGTAGTAGTAGAAGTCGTCGTCGTCGTGCTTGCTTCTAAAGTTGTACTCGTTTTCAAATTATTATCATCGTCCTCATCATTCTCATCATCCCCATAATCCTGAAAAACAGAAATAGAAATTTTTATTTCATTATCTAAAATTTTAATAACTCAAAGGTTATTTATTATACATAATGCATTTAATCGACAGTGATGCCTATTATGATCGTAGTTTAGAAAATTGTCAACGAATTTTTAAAAGCTTTATATAGTGTAAAATAATCACCTGCCTCGGAGGTAATACTTTTCTGTAGGAAATCAATAAAAAATCTTCTAGAAATCGTCTCCTGTGTATAGTAAATGTCGAATAAATGTTTTTGAAAGACATTCCGCGTGAAAGTCGACCAACATGTATCGATTAAGATTTATTTCTTTTCATTCTGTCTCTGATAAATCAATCAGTACCACTTGTCTTCATTTTTTTGCTTTCAAATTGTAATTTTCCCATAATGATTCTTTATTTTGTCAATCCGAATCATTAGAAATTGTCGTCACAATTTCAAAAGTAAAAATATTTCCTTTTCTCTCATAGAGCAGCATTGGGATTGGATCCCAATTTTCGAAAGTTGATAAAATCCGTTTGCTGTCAGGTTTATTATTAATTCAAACTATTTCCATTATAATTAATTTCTCTTTGTAAATTTTATTAGTATTATTATTTTAGTATTAGTATTAGTATTATTAGTATTACTTTCTTTTTTGTTTTAAGTAATTTTTAATTTTTGTTTTAAGTTTATTCGCGACGTGTGACAATTTTTTGCGAAATCTTGAGCATGGTACGTATTAGTTTCTATCGTGCTACTGTCACTGGTGGACAGTTAATTTGTTACAGAAACGAGAGTTCGACATTTGCATGAAAATATAATTATAGTTTATCGCTATACCTCTTAATTATACTGTCAAGCAGAGTAATACGCAAAAATTGGTTCAACTCCGTAACATCTGTTTTCAGTAAATGCTAATTTAGCATTTAGCTGATGACGGACAAGTCATAAAGTTTAAGGGGGAATGTCTAGGCAATTTATTCGATAAGCAAGGTGGATGACAACTTAATAGAAGAAATATTCTACAAAAAGAAACAGTGTTTCAATACCAGCAACCAATTCAGAAATCTTCTTTAATTTCTGGACTTGAAATATTAAAATTACTTTCTGTAAATAAAAATCTGTTCTCTGTAATTGAAAATTACTTTCTGTAATTCAAAATCTGCTTTCTGTCATGGAAAATTACTTTCTGTAATTAAAAACTACTTTCTTTAATTAAAACTACTTTCTGTAATGAAAAATTACTTATTCTGTATTTTAAAATTTCTTATTTCGTAATTAAAAATTTCAGCATAACAATAAATTTTTGTGCATCAGCGGATTAAAAACGCAATGCGTCTAAACAGAGTGAATCACAAATATATAGCAACTGATGATGTTACTCATTCTCTAGATTGAATATGCATAATAAAAATGTTGGCGAAAACACAAAAAGCATTTCTCTCGCGAGAGATGCAAAAGCCCCACGAAGTGCATGTGTTCTCGTCTTTGATATTGAGCCGCTGTAATGGAAACAATCTTCATTGCGTTTCACGTCCGACTAGATCACTAGAGTGCCGATGAAGGAGGATGCCAAGTTTACACTTGACATTTATCGGATATTTTTTCTTCACATTTCCCCTCAAGTCCTAATTGAAAGTTCGTATCATCATCAACAGAACAGAACAGAAAATTGGAAAATCTCAACTCTCTCTTTACTCAATAAAAATTCGTTCAATTTCACCGAATAAATTTCACAATTTACAATAACAGACTTCGCACTCGATAATTAATTTTTAAAAAGTAGTACTAAATGAATAAATAAATATTAAAAATAATTGAAATTCTGCGTTGAATTTCAAGATTTATGAAAATAATTAAATAGTTGCTAAGAATTTTATTAAAATTTTCAAAAATAATTGAAATCCTGAGAAGAATTTTATTATTTATGCAAAAAATTGAATTCTTGCGAACGATTTTAGTATAATTTTTTAAAATAATTAAATTTCCAAGAAGAAATTTTTTGACTTTTTAAAATAATTAAATTCTTGTGATAAATAGTTTTATTTGTGAAAATAAATGAATTTTGCAAAGGATTGTATTAAAATGCCTCAAAATAACTGAATTTTCGGAAATAACTTTGTTATTTATCTTTAATAATTAAATTCTTTCGATGAATTATTTATCTAAATAATTGAATTCTAGAGAAGAATTTTATTACAGTCTAAAAGAATAATTAAATTATTAAAAAAAAAAATAATTAAAAATGTATTTAAAATAATTGATTTCCTTCAAACAATTTTATTAAAACATTTGAAAATAATTAAATTCCTGTGAAGAACTAATATTTTTGTACATAATTAAATTCATGCAAAGAATTTTAATAAACATTTTTTTAAATAATTGATTTTTTCTAGGAATTGAAATTAAATTTTTAAGAATTATATTTTTTAAGCAATTCCTGTAAAATTGTATTAAAAATAATTGAAATCCTGCGATAAATGTAACTCGAATAATTTTAGACCAAATGCTTATTTCTTGGTCAGAAATTGAAGGGGGATTATTGCCCTTTAAAATGTAACAATTGAAAATATTTTTAATAAATTTTTAATAGTTATTTTTTATTTGTAGTATTAGCGAATTTAAAGTAGTGAAATTCTTAAAAAACAGAAACAGTAGCTTTTAATAACTGAAATCTAAAACAGTATTTAAATAGTAGCATAACGTAAAAAAGTAGCAAATAGTAAGTTTTGGTAAATAAGTGCGAAGCTTGCAATATTTAATTGTAATCATTAGAAATTGAAAACTGAATCAATCACTTTGTTTTTTCTAATTAATTGTGAAACTTTCTGCAAAAAGTGTCAAATCAACATTAATTTGAAAAAAACTGATTCAAAATTGAAAAAAATAGATTTATATTCGAAATCAATGTTCCTAATTTGAACGAAGAGTTTTCTCCTTTATTACAGATTTATAATAGACATATTAATTAAAAAAATCAATTGGCAATATGTGATAATTAATTTTTGAAGACTTGGAATATATTTGCCTCATCTACTTTCACATTATTAGTTTCGCGCGTGCTTTCCGTTAATTTATGATTCAACAGGCGTGAAAACGAGACAGTTTTACAACGTGGGGGTACTTACCTACCGTGTCTCAAACGTTTACACCGACGAAGATAACGTAAGAGATTTACGGGGAAGGTACATAAAGAATCTTTCTATAAACGGTGTGCTCTCTTCGTCATATCTATTTTTTCCCCAACTCTCTCTTATTTAATCCGATTTCGAATATAATTCATATTATTAAAAACCAAAAAAAGAAAAAAAAAGGATAAATAATCAATTTATATTCAAATTTTCTACGCACAAACCGATTATATTTATTGCCGACAAAAAAAAAAATGTTTCCCATCACGCATAAATAAGAGGATTAAGGAATAAAATCCATTCCGGAAAATTCTTATTAATTTGAGACATTTTTTTAATTAGAATTCTCATTTTCCTTTTTTTCTTTTCTTATTTCTTCGTTTTGGTTTTGTATTTTTGATTTTATTTTTCTTTACCAACAAAAATATGAATACAAAGAGGCAAAAGATATCCGAAGTGTTTATAATCATCTGATAAGATAGCGAACGGATTCTTTATGAAAAATAAAAGAATATATAGTTTTTCATTGAGAAAACAGTTCAATTGTATCTAAAATCAACATTTCAATTAAAGAACTTATTGTGGATGCAATTTATCACCTGGAGAGTAATTGTAACCATTGTTAAAGTTGTAGAGAACGACGGAGTTTGCATTGTACCAGATTTGCCTATTCATAAATTTTTCCGATCTTCAGTTGATTCTTATCAAGTGAGGAGAAAATCGAGATTGATTTCAATGAATCCAATCTTTCGAAATAAGACATTTTTCTATTCGATGAATAGTAATTTATCGTTTTGCAATTATATGATTGAATAAAAAATTTGATGAATTGCTGTGAATTAGAAAAAGAGGAATTAGAATGGTTGACCATTCTAATTCCTCTTTTTCTAATTCACAGCAATTCATCAAATTCTTATAAAAAGTACAAAATAAAAAAAAAATTCAACATTTTTCACAGAAATTCAATTCTTTTTAAACATTTTAATAATATTCTTTGCAAAATTCAATTATTTTCATAAATAACAATGTTCATCACAAGAATTCAATTCTTTTTAAAAGTAATAAATTTCTTCTTGGAAATTCAATTATTTTTAAAAATTCTAATAAAAATTTATTCTAATTCTTTAGCAATAATTCAATTATTTTCATAAATAATAAAATTCTTCTTTTAGGAATTCAATTATTTTTGAAAATTTAAATTAAATTATTAGCTACTGTTCAATTATTTACATAAATCATAAAATTAAATCACAGAATTTCAATTATTTTTAATACAATTTTAGAGGAATTGCTCAAAAAATGTCATTATTCTTAAAAATTTAATTTCAATTCCTCGAAAAAATCAATTATTTAAAAAAATATTTTTTTTTCAATTCTTAAAAAGAATTCAATTATTTACAAAATTAAAATAAAATTTTTAATTTAATTATTTTCAAAAATATTACAATTTCTCACAGGATTTCAATTTTTTTCAAATATTTTAATAAAATTCTTCGAAAAAAATCAACTATTTTAAATAAAATTTTTCTCAATAATTCAATTACCTTCATAAATAACAAAATTTGTCTTAGCAATTCAATTTTTTTTAAAAGTTTTAATGAAAATCTTACCAACTATTTAATTATTTTCGTAAATTATAAAATATATCGTAGGATTTTAATTATTTTTAATACAATTTTACAAAAATATAATTATTCTTTGTAATAATTCAATTATTTACATAAATATTAGAATTTTTAACAGGAATTCAATTATTTTCAAATATTAAATTGTTCAAAAAAATCAATTATTTTAAATAAAACTTTAATAACATTTTTCGCAATAATTAAATTATTATTTAGATTTTTGTAAAATTCTTCCCAAGAATTCAATTATTCCCTAACAT